AGCTTAAATGCATGACGTGAGGACTTTTGGTTGAGGGAGAATGCAACGAGTCACTATATACTGCAGCCGCAGCGTCCTCTGCCAGCATTTAAACCGTGTCACGGACACCCTGTTGCTGGATGAAGCATCTTATTTGTTGATGATGAAGAGAAATATACAATTAGTTCCTTGTCATGGATTTGTTTACTTGTTCAATGCCATTTATACTTGAACATTTGGATTTGATTACATAGTGTAGTAGTTATTTTAGTCATTTGTTTAGAGTGGCTATTTATTTTAAATACATATTTTTTAAGGTTGACTTGTACAGTGCTCAAGTCAAGTGTGGACTGGAGTTTTAGATTTTCATTTTGATAATGAAGAAAACAAGTATATGAGAAAACAAGTGGTGTTTCTTTGATTTGTTTACATATTGTTTATGTTTTGAATGTTTGGATTTGTATAATTTAAACCTGCACTGACTACTGTAACATGTTCCAGAAAAAGAAGCTATTTGTTCCTTTACTTGTGAAAAGTTGCACTTTTGCTAAGGCTTTGTGTTATTTTAGGTTTAATAAACACTGTTAAACATTTTCAGAACTATTTCAGTTTGTGTAGAACAGGACTATCAATGCTTTCTGAACATATGCAACACCGTTTAAAAAATACCGCGATAATACCGAAAACCGTGATAATTTTGGTCACAATAACCGTGAGGTTAAATTTTCATACCGTGACAACCCTAACAGCAAGAATTATACAGTGGCATTTATAAATACATGCAAATTGCTGTTCACTAAATGTTGCATAACATTTATTTAGTCATGTCAAGGTGCTGTAGGAGAGTGCACTAGCACCGTGTCCTCAGAGAGATTAGTTATTATTTATCAGCGTGAGGAACTTATTTCTACCTTATTTATAAACTATTTATTTACAGGTCCATCAGTTAATGTAATAAATGTCCCAACCACAGCAGCACCCCCACCCCCAACCCGGTCTCACAGCAATCAGGGGCAAGCTGCACGTGTGTTTAGCACGCCGCACGCGCACATTTAGCCGTTTTTAGTGGCTCAGGAGTCCGCAGGTGCGGGTGTGTGTCACTCACTCTGGTTAATCCAACAGGGAGCTGGCTCCGAGAGCCGTTTCTTTAGCGACTGACACATCACTACATCATTCCCGTTCCTAATGTTGTGAAGAACGGTCCGGAGTGCAGGCGGAGTGTTTAGCTAACCTGCAGGAAATGTCGACGATAGTTATCCAGAAAGTAGCTAAGGGTTACCAGAGATGTTTCTGAGGTGTTCGCTAGGTACTTTTAAGATTTAAAAAGTCAAGAAGGGGGTCTGAGAAGCTGCTAGAAATAGTGTCAAAGTCGCTAAGTTAACTTGGCAACACTGGGAGGAGCGCTTCATTTGCAACTCAAGGCAGCGCAAGTGGGAGGAGCAAATAATCGGCTTGCTTTGTTTTTATAATCGTTCAACACATTTCATTCGGAATATATTTCTATGACGATGTTCAGAATACGACATCTGATAGTCTGAAAAAATAATACCTAATTTGGAAAAAATAATACCTCTGAGACCAAATTTAACACTTTTAATGGCCTTAAATTTGACTATTTTTATTTATCACTTTTTAATACTTTTTAAAACCCCGCGGACACCCTGAAGAAGATTTATTTCTAAACAATTTTAAACAAGACTAACTCTAAACTCTGGGTGATGAATGGATCTTGGTGTGAATGAGACGTGAGATGAATGGTGTATGTGTGAGTGATGTTGTCATCAGAACTCTCGTATCCGGAGAAGCAAGTCTGAGTGGGACATGATGTTTTGCACTTAAGCTATGATCGGAGTTTCATAAACACAGGAGATGCCATTTTGTTGCTCCACACATACCCTGAGGATGAGACCTCCGTACAGATCCAGAATGCCAGGTCCTCGGACCCTCCTTAGGTACCGGAGCCGGTGAAACAGCGTCAGCAATACGACAGACTAGTCTTTGGATTGCCTCCAGGTAAAAGTGACAGTTGGTTGACAGTGTCAGATGGACCCTGAGGATCAGTGAGTTCAGCTTTTATTCTGAAAGGAATCGTTGCTTGGTTGGTAAAGTGCAACAGAATTTATCCAGCTTGTTAGTTCTTTGTCATCACTCACACATACACCATTCATCTCACGTCTCATTCATACCAAGATCGATTCATCAGTTAGAGTTTAGAGTTAGTCTTGTTTAAAATTGTTTAGAAATAAATCTTCTTAAACATTTTAAAGGTGACTCTCTCTTCTCTTGTCTCTCAGTTAATATGAAGTGGTTACATAATCCCTGCAATAAAAAGTTCCAATCTTCTGGTTAAAATTACCCAAAGGTTCATAAGATTGATTTCATATTTCCTATGGAATCTCACATCTTATGGTTCATTAAATAGATGTAAATTAAATCATTACAACATAAATCAATCAAAGGAGAAGATCAAATGATCTAAACAAATAAGACTAACCCAGTTATCCTCTAGCAACCTGACGCGGTTAACAAACAGCATTGTGACAAACAGGTGTGTTTCTCTCAACAGTGACCAACATCCTGAATCCAAGCAGAGTTTTTCTGGATTAGACGAATGTTGACATACTTCCACATGACACTTGACTTTCCAGGGCCAAAGGTACCACACATGAAAAATAAATCAATAAATACATAATGCATGAAAAACATTTTAACATGGCATTACCTAAAATCTGATATAAATGTATGATTAATATAATTTAAGTAATGTGTCAAATAAAAACATAATTACATAAAAAAATCATTATTTCTTGATCTTCAGTTTAGTTTATCTGTAGAGCTTGGCCCATCAGTGGGAGGAAATAACGCTGACAAGGATTGATTGCTCTGGTCTAAATTGAGTACTGTCCATCATGGCGTCTCTCTTTTTGCAGGATTCCTTCATGGGTTGGTGAGACATTCAAAAACCAACAGAATCACAATCACTGTGGTAAAATAGAGAAACTTATTGAGGAATTTCCATGTTTGATTGTGACATTAATTATCTAATGCTTAATTGTTTTATTCCGTGAACTCTCAGACATCTTTGTCCCCGGTCAAACTTCTGCACATTTTAAATCCATCCTTGATCTCCATCCAACTCATCTTCATTTGAGTCATCGCATCAAAGCTCACAGCCAACACTCACTGTCCTTCATCACCTTTAAATTACCTTTGGGATTACCTGAACTTGAAAAAAGGCCCTTCTTCCCACAAAAGGCAGCATTTCAGCTATTGAGCCCATTTTTTGTCTTTTTATTCTACTTTATTTAACACTCTTGTTTAATTACTGACTATATTTTCATTATTACGCTCACTAGAAGCAGGCCTCTTGAAGGAAGGAAACATCATGTGTCAATGAGACTTGCAGTTTGGCTAGGCAGTGAATAAAGGTGAAATAAAAATAAAAAGCTGCTGTTTCCACAACAGTTGGCACAAAAACACCAGACTATTGCCACAAATTCACCCTGAATGACATCAACTGATTAGAGGCTTCAAAACAGGATGAAAATGACATAAAACGTCTGGCAGATGAAGACAGAAAGAAACGTACACACACACACACACACACACACACACAGCTAAGTGCCTGATGCAACCTCGGTTGCTCTTGTGGTAAGGTTTGAAGCTCCATCACTACAGTGCTTTGAATGATGCATCATAGCACATTTACATGGGGCCACTGTATCAGCAGAGCTTCATTCTGCCTGAAAATCTTTCACCTATTTTTACTGAAGCCTTCTCTGTAGAGATCACCGCCCCTGCATCGCCACAGATGATGTGGTTTGACATTTTTCATCACAGCTGAATATTTCTCATCAGCTGAATGCTGAGCAGCAACTCGAGGGAGAGTTGAATCTGAACAGAATAGATGAACGTCTTACCCTGAAAGTCTGAGCAGCGAGCCACTAAATTAGTACTGAATCATGTGACGATTGATTATTCAGATCAGGGCTGGGTGACATGACCTTAAATTGATATCATGGTATATTGAGCTGTTCACGTCGGTAACGATAAATGGATGATAACTACCCGCACGTGCAAAAACAACAGCTGTCCACTATGGGGATGTGGCAGCACAATTGCTCCAAAGCCTGTTTTATTGATAGTATTAGTCACCTGTATGTTCATTGAAATATTTTTTTTTATTTCTACAGAAAAAAAAACTTCAAACTGAGTACTACGTACTATTAGTTGCTAAGACTGAAAAACCAAGCAGAACTGAACAACTATTAAAGTAAAGAAATTTGCTGCCAACACAAAGTATTTCCGATACAATCTCTTATATTCTAAAGATGGATATTACAAAGACCTGCATCATGGTAATATTGACACATTTGAGTTGTCAGGTAGTCAGGGTTCTCTATAAAGTGTGGTTGTACTGAAGGTGTTACCATGGCTTGTCTTTCTGCACAGTTTGACTTTTGTCTTTTGTTTCCATCACATCCTCATTGCTGAATTCATCATGTAGCTAAATGAGTGATGGTCGTTTTTGGGAACAAACCTCTTCTCGACCAAATCTACCATCACTCATACTCGTATCCCGCTGGTACCCATGAAGCGCCACAGCCTGGGCAGCGAGTGGCACCAAGCAGAAAGCTGTTACAAGCCAATGACAACTACGAGCAGCTACGAAGGGCGAGAAGCCAAAGCCCGCGATTAGACACTGACACAGAACACACCAAAAGATCCATACTGAAAAATCCAAGTATGAATAAATGTAATGACGCCCCAAATAATTTGTCCACGTGGAAATACTGTAAGAAGACGTTGTTTGCTAAAGTTGTGTGAATCTGTCAATTAGCTCCGCCTTCTGAGTCATGTGACCTCTCCAAGAAGAGGGGAACAATCCATCCCATTGAAACACATAAGCAGCTTTGACTTGAGCAAGATCCGCTGTGTTCTCACTGCATTTCTAAGGCAAATAAATCACAAGCTGTAAGTAACCGTTTCAATCCAAATCAGAGAATTAAGAGAGGAATTACCACCGAAGAGCAATTTTGATGGGTGTGGTGAGGCAGGAGGTGAAGAGGTCAGCAGGGAGGTCAGGGTTCATAGGCAGCAGCTCATTGGCCTCACAGGCAGCCAGCTGGATGCAGTTCTTCATGGAGGGAGGAAGTGGCATCTGTGCGAGTGGGTGGCTGGGATTGATGGCTGCGACCTGAACAGACAAACGAACATACAATAATTCACTCTGAGGGGGAATCTAGAGAAACTCTCCTGATGATGAATCATCAGCAGGAAAAACATGATGGCAAAATAACAGCTCAAAGAGCAGAAAACTGGAACATTTTATGTTTCTTAGATTAAAAACAAAGACAACAGCTGATCCAAGGTCCAAATGTTCTGTACGAATGCACAACAGGTGATGGCTTCAGCACCCAGTTACCACCTACAAAAACCTGTGGTGCTTAAAAATTCTGCATCACCAACTGCTAATTAAATGGCTTTTATTTGTTTACTTCTTTTTAACTTTAACACTATACATTTTTCTACCAGAGTGAGCTCATTCTAACATTATCTATTATCATTATTTATTTGTGTTTATAAGCTGCTACATTTTAAAAAAAAAGGACATTTAATTAATTTAAAAGTAATCATTACATTTTGGTGTTTTTGTTGTTTTAGTAATTGTGCAAAAATCAGGAGGAAACCTGTCTTAATATAAACTTTATATTGTTTTACATCTTCATTTCTTGAGCAAAGCACAATAACAGATGACTCTGATTATCACAACAAAAAAGCAACATTTTGTTTTCATGCCAGCGAGTTAACTTTTAATTCCCTTGGCTGTTTTGTTTTTTACCTTTGTGGTGGTAAACAAATCTTTCTATTCAGAAACAGATTCGTGGAGCTATTTTTACATTCTGGGTCGGCTGAGTTGATCCCCCTAAATGTGAGATGTAGAGGAGTCAGGACGATCATGTAAAACTTTAATTATACGTGGAGCTCTTGACCATTTATAGTCTGATTGTGCTGCAGGAATGTTGATGTGTTTGCCTGGAGTTTCATACAGCTTGTGTTTTTTGCTGAGTGGGCTTTAATGAGCCGTGGGTCTTAAAGAAGGCAAAATACAAGATTTAAACCAGCGTCCCATTCAAGTGGAGGAGGACATAAAATCCTCACCTTCATTTAACCTTTTAAAATCTATTTCAATCATTATAAACTGGAGAAACATTTGAAAAGGACCATGGATAAATTTGTAAGTACCTTCCACAATAAAATAAAAAATTCCAGACAATTACCTCTAGGCCAATGCTCTCCAATCCTGATCTTCAAGATCCCCTATCCTGCATGTTTTAGTTGGTTCCCTGTTTCAACACTCTTGATTTGAATCAGTGGTGATTGACAGGCCTTTGCAAAGGTGGATGATCTGTTGAACAGGTAATTCAACTATTGAATAAGGTGTGTTGGAGCAGAGAAACAACTAAAACATGCTGGACAGGGGCCCAGAAAAAAGGGGATTGGCCACTTCAACTCTCTATTTTTAAACTGGAGCTTGGTTGAACACCTTTTCAGGAACTCCTGTCCTACCTTTAACCCTTAAAGCCATACTATGCAAATTTGTCATATTTTAAATCATTTTCTTGAGTCACTATGTGCTAAAATGACCCTTTACAGGGCCCTCTGTGGCCAGAGTGTAGCATTTGCAACTTTAGAGTGCCAGTCCAATCTGTTGGTGCCTGTGGTCATCTGGGCATTCGGGACGGTAAACCCGAAACTGGAAGAGTGGCTAAAGCAAATCCCAAGAAAAACATCAGACATCTCAGTCCAGAAAACTGTATTTTATTTTAGGTATCAACATGCCACCGCTTTTACCTCAACACTGATGCCAGACATTAAAGATGCAATCACGATGGAATAGCCAAGTGTGGGAGCTGTACACACTTCACCACAGCTGCTCACTGAAGTAGAATATGTTTAACGGAAAGGTGCTAAGTATTAAAACAATTTCTGTGTTTGCTAACACTTCAGGAGTAACAGGTGACTGAGGAGAAGGAGGAGGAGAGAGTGGGGTGAGAAATATGAGAAAACTGTGACAAACTAGTGTGTTAACATTAAAATAGTAAATAAAAAACTCCATAATTATACACAAATCATAATAACAGACTCATTGCAAAAGGCTTTAGGCTTGAAACATCTTTAAATGTGAAAAATATATCTGTGGAACTAGGGTTGGGCAATAAATAGAAAATTTATCGTTATTGAAATTTGTGACTATTATCGCGATAATTTTTTTCCCAACTTTTGTTTCTGCGCATACCTGTAGTCATTGTCCACTTATCGTTATTGAGGTGAAATCCTCAATATATCGTGATACTGATTTTAGGTCATATGGTCCAGCCCTATGTGGAACTTTAGAAAATTCAAGAAAACAAGAAGCATCTCCACTAAATGAGAGAAATACACAGCAGATGACACTTAAACTATGTTTTATTTATTTCCGGGTAAATACTAATTGATCAAGTATTTACCTGGTAGTTATTTGGAAAGTAATCAAATACACAGTAAAGTCACATTATACATCATATTACAGTTAGACATTATATTACGGTTATAATATATTATTACAGACATTACATAATAAACTATTTTATGATTGTTTCATTTTTTATTATAATTGAAGAATTAAAGCAACATGTTTATTTCCCTCTACCTTCACAAAATTGATGAGGTACTAACATCGGTACAGGTCAAGTAACAACAATGAAATTAAATAAACATTAGACCAAAGCAGAGTTACTTATAAACTAGTTTCCTCATAATTACTAGGTTTGTAAGAAAATATCAATATGCTGAATCATTTGTGTTAAGATACTGAATTCATATTTAAAAGCAGTGTATAGATTTTTTTACTCTTTTGTGTGGTGCAATTCATACTCCGACTGCTAGGTGGCAGCAGTTTTTACCAACTTCAATCTGATGTAAAAGCATCTGGCCTGAGTTTTCCAATAGATTACTTTATAGTGACTAAAATTACATCGCGGCTTAATGTTGTAATGCATTGTCGAAAGCAGCCCTAGACAAACAAACATGCATTTTGAATGGTTGACTATGGGTATGAGTCACTTCAGTCGTCACAAAGTTGTAGTTTTGTGTCCTAGATGTTTAAACAGGAAGAAACTAAGCACTGCGTTATTTTATCCTTTTTCCAAAGCTGGGTAAGGTCTGCAACAATATGACACAGCTGTAAAGTGAATGAGCAAAGTTAAAGACAGTAGAAGCAGAGCAATGGCAATAATAATCAGTGTTGGGCAAGTTAATTCAAATCTGTAATGCATTATTTTTTACTTGTTACCTTCACTTTAAAGTAGTAGTAGTCTGACGCTCAGTGAACTCATGACATATCCAGTGGAAAGTGGTGTGGTATCTGAGCTAGGATTGCTGTTAAAACAGTCAGATTTAATAACAGTTGTTTAAAATGATTGTTTATTAAATAAATGCAACAACAACTGTACTCTCAGCACGCTGCCATGATATATTAACTGAGCAGGGAGTGAGGTGGTGGGGGCTCCAGGGCCTATTTTGCCTTGGTCCCCAAATACTTTGATATGGCTCTGAATGTGGGACTGACTTTTGAGGGTGATCTGATTCGATCACATGTATAAATATTAGATGCTTATATATTATTGCTTTTCACTGGTAAATATGTATATTGGGGAAAAATCAACCAACTTATTTTTCTTAGTTTTGTTTTCTTGATTTTATTTGAATAATTTCTTGTCCTTTCTCTCTCTAACCTTCCTGCATGTTGCACCTTTTCTCAGTCTTCCAGTAAAACAGTTTCCTAGATTTCCCTCTTTCTAACTAATCAGTCAATGGGATCTACCAAATGCAAAAAAAAGCTTAATATGCGCTGCGCTCCTGCAGCAATGAGTTGAAATCACAGATTATGAACTCAGCTGAGGCAAAGCACGTCAGAAAAGTACAGAAGGTACCAGAGAATATGGGCTGATATGAACGGTCACAAGTGAATTATTTTGTTTTAGTGAAGCGATTTTGTGAATGTTACAGCGGCTGCACGCAGGACTCAGCTGGAGTATTTGAGTCATTACTGCTGCGCGCTGCATCCTCTCTGCTCATAGAATGCCCGAAAAGCTGAGTCCATAAATGACGTAATATATGTAGATAATGGACCTTTAATCGGGCTTCTCGCAATTTGAATTTTTAAGAAACCCACATCTTGATTCTGGGTTTAAAAATGCATTGTAATAACCACGTTACTGACAATTGTCAGTAATTATTATCAATTTCTTTCCCTGTAATGCCCTACATTACCATATTACAGCAAAAAGCAATGCATTACAGTAATTAATTACTTTGTACTGCGTTACTCCACAACACTGGTAATAGTATGGAAAAGCAGATTTTCAAGGTGTGGAGCAAATAAAGTGAAGCATATTAATAATTATTATTATTATTATTATTATTATTATTATTATTATTATTATGACACTTTACAGCAATAAAATAACAATATAGAAACCAAGTTAAAAATGGCAAAAATCACACACAGAAACCTAAAAATACAAACTAGATAATAAAACCAATGAAGATGGAAAAGGTGACACTAGCAGTATGCAGTCTGAAACAGGTGAGGTTTGAATCTAGATTTAAAGGAGGAGAGCGAGTCAAGAGTTACAGATGGCTTGAGGGAGAGAATTCCAGAGATGGGGAGCAGAGCTTTCAGCAGCTCTGCTCCCTATAGTGCTGAGACGGAAAGGTGGGACAGAGAGAGTGATAGAGGATGATGATGTGAGGGAACGGACGGGAGAGATAATATGAATGAGGTCAGACAGGTATGGGGGAGAAAGGTTATGGATAGTTTAAATGTGAGGAGAAGGATTTTGAAATCTATGTGTTGGCTAACAGGAAGCCAGTGAAGCTGTTGCAGGACAGGGCTGACATGGTGACTCACAGGGGTTTTAGAAATTAAGCGTGCAGCAGAATTCTTAACCAGTTGGAGCTTATGGATGGACTTTTATGGTAAACCAAATTGGAGTGAATTGCAGTAGTCAATTCTTGAGGTGACAAGGCTGTGAACAAGTATGGAAGCAGAGTGGGGGGTGAGAGCGGGGTGAAGGCGATTAATATTGCGCAGGTGAAAGTAGGCAGACCGAGTGATGTTACTGATGTGGGATTGAAATGAAAGAGTGGTGT